TGCTTAGGTCGGGAGTTGCTATCTTTGACCTAGACTTTGATGTTATTATCTCTGCCATGTATGCTTTGTCTTTTAGAGCTGAGGGTGACTGTTACTGGTGTGTGCCGCCTGACCCAGGTATAGCTGCTGCTGCTCTAGGTGCTAGTGCGTCTGGTACTCCCCCTGGTACTGCGCCTGCTGAGGCCCTGCACACCTTCACGTTGGACTCCGGCGCCTCGCGCTGTTTCTTTCGTGACAGCACCACTCTCACTCCTCTTCCTGCACCTGTTCCGGTCAGACTGGCTGACCCCTCTGGGGGCCCGGTCGTTGCCAGTTCCTCCACTGTCCTCCCGTGTCCGGCGGTTCCGTCCGGCTCACTATCAGGTCTTCACCTCCCCTCGTTCTCTACAAACTTGGTGAGTACCGCTTCCCTTCAGGATGCGATGGTCACTACCACCACTCCTGGGGGTCAGCGTGTGTCGATCTGCACGTGCACACGGACGGGGCGTCACCTGGCTACGTTCACTCGTCGGCCAGGGTCGAGTCTGTACACACTGGCTACCGAGCCTCCTCAGGTCGCTGCGTCTGCTCAGGTGTCCGCGTCAGGTCAGGTAGCCGCCTCTTGCTCGTGTCGCTTCCTGTCGCACCAGAATCTTCTTTGGCACCACCGCCTTGGTCACCCCTCCCTGCCACGCCTTCGTGGCATGCACTCCCGTCTCCTTGTCTCTGGTCTCCCCAGGTCTCTGCCTCCCCTGCCGCCCTCACCTGCCCCGCCCTGTCTTCCTTGCGTCGAGGGGCGGCAGCGCGCCACTCCTCACTCCTCCTCGTTTCCCCCGACGACTGCTCCCCTGCAGACCCTCCACATGGACGTGTGGGGCCCAGCCCGTGTCAGTGGACAGGGCCGCGAGCGCTACTTTCTTCCGGTAGTTGACGACTACACGCGGTACACCACAGTCTTCCCCTTGCGCAGCAAGGGTGAAGTCTTTGCTGTCTTGATCCCTTGGATCCGCACAGTCCGTCTCCAGCTGCGCGAGCGGTTCGGCCAGGACCTTCCTGTCCTGCGTCTGCACTCTGACAGAGGTGGTGAGTTCTCCTCCGACCTCTTGCGGGACTTTTGTCGTGGGGAGGGCATTCTCCAGTCGTTCACGCTTCCGGACTCCCCTTAGCAAAATGGGATTGCTGAGCGCCGCATTGGCTTAGTCATGGAGGTCGCTCGTACCTCCATGATTCATGCGGCCGCTCCCCATTTTCTGTGGCCGTTTGCGGTCCGGTACGCTGCGCATCAGCTCAACCTCTGGCCCCGTGTCTCCTTGCCGGAGGCCTCGCCCACACTGCGTTGGACGGGGAAGGTTGGCGATGCGTCGGTGTTCCGGGTCTGGGGTTCTCGTGCCTTTGTTCGCGATACGTCCGCGGACAAGCTCTCCGCCCACGCCATTCCCTGCGTCTTCCTTGGCTTTGTCCCTGACGCGCCGGGTTGGCAGTTTTACCACCCCACCTCGCGCCGTGTCCTCCCTTCTCAGGACGTCACGTTCGACGAGTCAGTTCCCTTCTACCGGCTCTTCCCCTACCGCTCTGCCCCTTCCCCGCCCCCGCCGCTCTTCCTTGCTCCCGGTCCACCTCCGGTAGACCCCCTTCCGCCCCAGGGTCCTGCTCCCTCGGGAGTGTCTCAGGTAGACCCTCTCCCTGGTACTGCGCCTGTTCAGGTGCTGCTCCAGGTGCTGCGTCTGGGGGTGCTGCGTCTGGGGGTGCTGCATCTGGGGGTGCTGCGTCTGGGGGTGCGGAGCCGGAGGGTGCGGGGTCTGAGGGTGCTGGGTCTGGGGGTGCTGAGCCTGAGGGTGTTGAGCCTGGGGGTGCTGAGTCGGAGGGTGCGGAGCCTGGGGGTGCTGAGTCGGAGGGTGCGGAGTCTGGGGGTGCTGAGCCTTGGGGTGCTGCTTCGTCTGGAGGTCCTGCTGGTGCTTCACCGCGACTGTCCTCGCAGCAGCTACGTGAGTGGCTTGTTCAGCGCCCACACCGTCGGAGTGGACCTCCTGGGGCTGGCGAGCCTGGAGACACTGGAGCTGGAGGTGCTGCTGTTACTACTGGAGCTGGAGACCCTACGGAGCCTGGAGCAGCTGGCGCCAAAGGCGCTGGAGCTGGTGTAGCTGGAGTTGGAGGCCCTGGCGCAGGAGGCGCTGGAGCTGCAAGAGCTGGAGCTGTTGACCCTGGAGCTGGAGGTGCTGGAGGCACTGTGCGACCGCGCCCGTACTTCGTTCCCCTGCTTCAGCAGGTTCTTGGTGTCCCGTCTTCTACTGGTCTTCCTCCTCCCTTCCTGTGTCCACCGCCTGACCAGTCGCAGCCGCCGTTACAAGCCAGCCTCCCCACTGCCTGTTCCCTCTCCTTACACTGAGCAGTCCGGAGGTCTTACAGAGCATCGTGAGCCTACGTCTCGTCCTGTCTCGCCTGTTTGCACTGCTCCTCGCGCTCCTCGTTCGTGTCCTCCTCCTGTCCCAGGCACACACACCATGGCACTCCGTCCTTCCTCTGTTCCACTGCGTGTTCCTCTGCCTGCTCCTCCTGAGTCCTCTCTTCCTGAGGTCCCTGACCCTGAGTCTGACCGAGCGCGTGCTGCCAGTCCCACTGTCGCTCGTCTCCTTGCCACTGCTGTGACTGACCCGTCCTTTGAGTCTGCTGCTGCTTCTGCTCTCGTTGCTGAGCTACTTGACTTTGCTGCTGCCTGCCGTCTCGACTACGCCTCTGCTCTAGTTGCTCAGTCTGTGCCTGCCAGTCCTCCGTCCGTCGGGGGTGAGTGTGCTCTTGGTACGGACGTCCTTGAGGACAGGCAGGAGGACTTTGAGTGTCTTGCAGCTGCTGTACCTCGTTTCGCTTCCTTGCTACTTGCCCCTGAGGGAGACCCGGATGCTCCAGACATCCCGTCCCCGCGCTCTTACGCAGAGGCGATTACGGGTCCTTACTCCTCTCATGCGCAGGCAGCTATGGATGCCGAGATGGCATCCTGGAAGTCCACAGGCACTTACGTCGACGAGGTTCCCCCACCTGGGGTGAACATAGTCGATGGCATGTGGATCTTCAGGATGAAGCGGCCGCCGGGTTCTCCGCCTGCCTTCAAGGCGCGTTACGTTGCTCGAGGTTTCAGTCAGCGACAGGGAGTTGACTACTTCCAGACCTTCTCCCCCACCCCAAAGATGACTACTCTTTGGGTGTTGCTGCACGTAGCTGCTCAGCGTGACTACGAGTTACACTCCCTGGACTTCAGTACAGCCTTCCTGCAGGGCAGCCTGCACGAGGAGATCTGGCTGCGCCGACCACCTGGTTTCACTGGGACGTTTCCTGCAGGTACCCAGTGGAGCCTCGGCCGGCCAGTCTACGGTCTCCGCCAGGCGCCTCGCGAGTGGCACGATACACTCAGGACTACACTTGCGGCTCTTGGGTTTGTTCCTTCTACAGCAGACCCGTCGCTGTTTCTACGCACCGACACCTCGCTGCCGCCCTTCTACGTCCTAGTGTACGTCGACGACCTCGTCTTTGCCACGGCTGACACTGAGGCACTGACCCTTGTGAAGTCCGAGCTGCAGAAGAGACATACCTGCACTGACCTGGGTGAACTGTGCAGCTATCTTGGCCTGCAGATCACCCGGGACAGAGCACGGCGCACCATCACACTGACTCAGTCACACATGGTGCACCTGGTCCTTCAGCGCTTCGGCTTCCAGTACTCCTCGCCACAGCTCACTCCTCTGTCTACCAGCCACTCTCTCTCAGCTCCACCTTCGGACGAGTCCGTAGAGCCGAGTGGTCCATACCCAGAGCTTGTGGGTTGCCTCATGTACCTGATGACTTGCACACGACCTGACCTCGCGTACCCTCTCAGCCTTCTGGCTCGCTACGTGGCTCCCGGTAGGCACCGAAAGGTGCACTGGGATGCTGTGAAGAGGGTACTGCGTTACCTGTGCAGTACGTCGGGCATGGGGCTTGTGCTTGGAGGACGGGGTCCTGTTGTCCTCACTGGTCACGCAGACGCCTCCTGGGTTGACGACTCAGCTACGCAGCGGTCGTCGCAGGGTTACACCTTCAGCCTTGGGTCCGGCTCGGTTTCCTGGCGGTCTACCCGCTCGTCTTCAGTTCTCAGCTCCAGCTGTGAGGCTGAGATCTACGCCGGAGCCATGGCTGCTCAGGAGCTACGCTGGCTCACCTTTTTGCTGACCGACCTGGGAGAGCAGCCTCATTCGCCTCCAGTCCTGTACGTAGACAACAAGGCCATGATAGCCTTGTGTCAGGAGCGCAGACTTGAGCACAGAACGAAGCACATCGCTCTGCGATACTTCCTTGCTCGAGAGTTGCAGCAGCGTGGTCAGCTTCGTCTAGCGTACATGGCCACTCGGGCCAACACTGCTGATGTCTTCACCAAGGCACTTCCGCCTGGTGACCATCAGCGCTTTGTTACTGTGTTAGGCCTTGTGCCTACTTTGCCTCACTTACTTACTGCCTGACTCTGCCTGTACTGTGATCTATCTATATACCTGCATGCTTGCACTTGTTAGGATATGATCACTGTATTGTTTGTTCTCTTTATATAACTCTTCATGTGAACTGGCCTTGTGGCCCTTTGCTTGTGCTCGGACTGTGTGGTGACTTTGTGATCCACCCTGAGCTTGCTTTGCTTTGCTTCTTCTCTTGACTGGTCTTGTGACCATTGCTTGTTCTGGCTATCCCCCACTTCGCCTATGGGGGTGTGTCAAACATATATGCTTAGTTATATCTAGGCTTAGTTTATGTGTTTATAGTTGTCTAGGCTATAGTGGGTTTAGCCTTAGGGGGTACATATTTCTCTCGACATTCTACTTGTACCCCTTCCCTTTTCCTAGTCAATCATTCTCGCCTACTATTCTCACACCCGTCGTGGTGCGCATTGCCTGAGCTCTTGTACGCTCGATACTTTCCGAGAATGTCATCGAACCTATCACGCAATCACATGAAACCGGGCGACCATTAGTGACTCCGACATCGGCCGAAGGGTGTCCGACTTATCGTGTTTTTGGAAGGTACGCGCCTCGTGCCCATATCACCGTCCACATCCCTGTCGGCAAAATCTTGACCTCCTCCCACACCTTCCTCCACTTCTCCAACTCGGTTTCCTCCAAGTCGGTGAGCTCGGCCATGAGGACCTTGCTGACGTAACCGTCGTAGACGATGTACGCAATCGAGTGCAGGTACGCCGGCTCCATCTTGTCGTGCGACTTGCCGATGTATCGATTAGCGCCGAGCACCTTAATCTCGCCCACCCACCCTAGACCGTCGCCCGAGTTGTCGTGGCGAATGCCATGACCCTTCCGTCCTTTCTCCTTCTCCTTCTCCTCCTTTTCCTTCTCCTTCTCCTTCTCCTTCTTCTTCTCCTTCTCCTTCTCCACCGCCTTCTCCTTCTCCTTCTCCTTCTCCGCCGCCTTCTCCTTCCCTTTCTTCACCGACGTACCCTCGCCAACCGACTTCTCCTCCTGATTCTCCTCCGCCTTCTCCTTCCCTTTCTCCACCGAATTCTCCTTTGCCTTCTCCCTCCCTGTCTCGGCCGTCATCGCCCGTGTTTTCCTCTGAGAGCTCGCCCTCCCTTTCCATGTGTTGGCCTTCCCCTTCCGTTTCGACTCTCCCTCGCCGACAGCATCAGTGGTTCTCTTTGGCTCCGCTGAACCACCGGGGGGACTCGCCGAGGGCTCCACATGCGTCGTGTCCAAGATGGCCAAAGCAGGGGGGTGCCTGGGGCGTTTTACCGCTTCCAACAGGTTCTGGATGGCAGCTATGTCGGTGTCGTTGTGGCCTTTCGACGCCCGTGCAAGATCAACGGCCCCCGCCGCCGGTGGCTAGCGCTGCCCTCACGCCCTTCTCCGCCGCCTCGTTTACCGACGTCGGCGTCGCGCTTGAGCCTGCTTCCGGCTGAGTCCGTGTTGGCGCTGGCGCACTACGTGCGCCTAACCAGGCGCGAAGCAATGCGGACTTTGGGTCCGCAGGAGGACGGGCGGCGACCAGAGGCGCGGTAGGTGGGGCACTGGGCGTTGTGGCGGCGACCTGCGGAGTGACAGAGCGACGTGCTGTTTCGGCGGGGGGCGGCATCGACCAAGGGAGGCTACTGCACGTCCTTGCAATGGGCCTCCATGCGGTGGAGCATTTCCCTGAGCGCGTTCGCCGCTGCGGGAACTTTGACAGTTAGCCGCAGCATCCTTCGTGTCGCCCTTGGCGGCAGACGGGCCTGCTGGAGCTGGAGTAGCGGCAAGGGCCGGCCCATTGTTGTTGGCGGCTGACGGGCTGACCGGCGCGCTGCTAGCCACAGGGGGTTTACGGGGAATCGACGTGGTCCCCGCCACCCCGACAGACGGTCCCTTGACGGTTCTGGCGCCGCCATCTATCGCCGTTTGAGTGGTTGGGATCTCCTTGTCGCTCAAGCCTTTCCCGCCGCTCGCCAGACCATGGGGCTTCTCAGCAACCAGGGGCGAGGCTGATGGTCCAGCGTCTTGCGCGGCAACCTCGTCGGCATGGCCCCCATCTGCACTCCCGATTCCATCACCCTTGCTGTGCGACCTTATCACCTTGGCCCCGTTCTTCTTGAGCTGGTCGACCACGCTCTCACCTCGAGTCCGCGAGCCGCCTGGACCCACCGCGCCGACACCGCGGCTCCCATCGGCTCCGAAGACGACGCGCGTGTTAGATAGTAGCGAGAAAATGGTTTACTACGAAGGAAGGAGGGGTACAAGTACAATGTCGAGAGAAATTGTGTACCCCCTAAGGCTAAACCCTCTATAGCCTAGACAACTGTAAACACATAAACACATATGTTTGACACACCCCCATAGGCGAAGTGGGGGATAGCCAGAGCAAGCAATGGTCACAAGACCAGTCAAGAGAAGAAGCAAAGCAAAGCAAAGCTCAGGGTGGATCACAAAGTCACCACACAGTCCGAGCACAAGCAAAGGGCCACAAGGCCAGTTCACATGCAGAGTTATATAAAGAGAACAAATAATACAGTGATCATACCCTAGCAAGTACAAGCATGCAGGTATATAGATAGATCACAGTACAGGCAGAGTCTGGCAGTAAGTGAGGCAAAGTAGGCACAAGGCCTAACACAGTAACAAAGCGCTGATGGTCACCAGGCGGAAGTGCCTTGGTGAAGACATCAGCAGTGTTGGCCCGAGTGGCCACGTACGCTAGACGAAGCTGACCACGCTGCTGCAACTCTCGAGCAAGGAAGTATCGCAGAGCGATGTGCTTCGTTCTGTGCTACAGTCTGTGCTCTTGACACAAGGCTATCATGGCCTTGTTGTCTACGTACAGGACTGGAGGCGAACGAGGCGGCTCTCCCAAGTCGGTCAGCAAGTAGGTGAGCCAGCGTAGCTCCTGAGCAGCCATGGCTCCGGCGTAGATCTCAGCCTCACAGCTGGAGCTGAGAACTGAGGACGAGCGGGTAGAACGCTAAGAAACTGAGCCGGACCCAAGGCTGAAGGTGTAACCCTGCGACGACCGCTGCGTAGCTGAGTCGTCAACCAAGGAAGCGTCTGCGTGACCAGTGAGGACAACCGGACCCCGTCCTCCAAGCACAAGCCCCATGCCCGACGTACTGCACAGGTAACGCAGTACCCTCTTCGCAGCATCCGAGTGCACCTTTCGGTGCCTACCGGGAGCCACGTAGCGAGCCAGAAGGCTGAGAGGGTACGCAAGGTCAGGTCGTGTGCAAGTCATCAGGTACATGAGGCAACCCACAAGCTCTGGGTACGGACCACTCGGCTCTACGGACTCGTCCAAAGGTGGAGCTGAGAGCGAGTGGCTGGTAAACAGAGGAGTGAGCTGTGGCGAGGAGTACTGGAAGCCGAAGCGCTGAAGGACCTGGTGCACCATGTGTGACTGAGTCAGTGTGATGGTGCGCCGTGCTCTGTCCCGGGTGATCTGCAGGCCAAGATAGCTGCACAGTTCACCCAGGTCAGTGCAAGTATGTCTCTTCTGCAGCTCGGACTTCACAAGGGTTAGTGCCTCAGTGTCAGCCGTGGCAAAGACAAGGTCGTCGACGTACACTAGGACGTAGAAGGGCGGCAGCGAGGTGTCGGTGCGTAGAAACAACGACGGGTCTGCTGTAGAAGGAACAAACCCAAGAGCCGCAAGTGTCGTCCTGAGTGTGTCATGCCACTCGCGAGGCGCCTGGCGGAGACCGTAGACTGGCCGGCGGAGGCTCCACTGGGTACCTGCAGGAAATGACCCAGTGAAACCAGGTGGTCGACGCAGCCAGATCTCCTCGTGCAGGCTGCCCTGCAGGAAGGCTGTACTGAAGTCCAGGGAGTGTAACTCATAGTCACGTTGAGCAGCTACGTGCAGCAACACCCGAAGAGTAGTCATCTTCGGGGTGGGGGAGAAGGTCTGGAAGTAGTCAACTCCCTGTCGCTGACTGAAACCTCGAGCAACGTAGCGTGCCTTGAAGGCAGGCGGAGAACCCGGCGGCCGCTTCACCATGAAGATCCACATGCCATCGACTATGTTCACCCCAGGTGGGGGAACCTCGTCAACGTAAGTGCCTGTGGACTTCCAGGATGCCATCTCGGCATCCATAGCTGCCTGCCACTGAGAGGAGTAAGGACCCATAATCGCCTCTGCGTAAGAGCGCGGGGTCGGGATGTCTGGAGCATCCGGGTCTCCCTCAGGGGCAAGCAGCAAGGAAGCGAAACGAGGTACAGCAGCTGCAAGACACTCAAAGTCCTCCTGCCTGTCCTCAAGGACGTCCATGCTAAGAGCACACTCACCCCCGACGGAAGGAGGACTGGCAGGCACAGACTCAGTGACTAGAGCAGAGGCGTAGTCAAGACGGCAGGCAGCAGCAAAGTCAAGCAGCTCAGCAACGAGAGCAGAAGCAGCAGCAGACTCAAAGGACGGGTCAGTGACAGCAGTGGCAAGGAGACGAGCGACAGTGGGACTGGCAGCACACGCTCAGTCAGACTCAGGGTCAGGGACCTCAGGAAGAGAGGACTTAGGAGGAGTAGGCAGAGGAATACGCAGTAGAACAGAGGAAGGACGGGGTGCCATGGTGTGCGTGCCTGGGACAGGAGGAGGACGCAAACGAGGAGCGCGACGAGCAGTGCGAACAGGCGAGACAGGACGAGACGCAGGCTCACGACGCTCTGTAAGACCTCCAGAGTGCTCAGTGTAAGGAGAGGGAACAGGCAGTGGGGAGGCTGGCTGTAACGGCGGCTGCGACTGGTCAAGCGGTGGACATAGGAAGGGAGGAGGAAGACCAGTAGAAGACGGGACACCAAGAACCTGCTGAAGCAGGGGAACGAAGTACGGTCGCGGCCGCACAGTGCCTCGAGCACCTCCAGCTCCAGGGTCAACAGCTCCAGCTCCTGCAGCTCCAGCGCCTCCTGCACAAGGGCCTCCAACTCCAGGTACACCAGCTCCAGCGCCTCCGGCGCCAGCTGCTCCAGGCTCCGTAGGGTCTCCAGCTCCAGTAGTAACAGCAGCACCTCCAGCTCCAGCGTCTCCAGGCTCGCCAGCCCCAGGAGCTCCACTCCGACGGTGTGCACGCTGAACAATCCACTCACGCAGCTGCTGCGAGGACAGTCACGGTGAAGCACCAGCAGGACCTCCAGACGAAGCTGCACCCCTAGGCTCAGCACCCCCAGACTCCGCACCCTCCGACTCAGCACCCCCAGGCTCCGCACCCTCCGACTCAGCACCCCCAGGCTCAACACCCTCAGGCTCAGCACCCCCCGACCCAGCACCCTCAGACCCCGCACCCCCCGGCTCCGCACCCCCAGACGCAGCACCCCCAGACGCAGCACCTGGAGCAGCACCTGAGACGACAGCTACCTGAACAGGCGCAGTACCAGGGAGAGGGTCTACCTGAGACACTCCCGAGGGAGCAGGACCCTTGGGCGGGAGGGGGTCTACTGGAGGTGGACCGGGAGCAAGGAAGAGCGGCGGGGGCGGGGAAGGGGCAGAGCGGTAGGGGAAGAGACGGTAAAAGGGAACCGACTCATCGAACGTGACGTCCTGAGAAGGGAGGACACGGCGCGAGGTGGGGTGGTAAAACTGCCAGCCAGGCGCGTCAGGGACAAAGCCAAGGAAGACGCAGGAAATGGCGCGGGCGGAGAGCTTGTCCGCGGATGTATCGCGAACAAAGGCACGAGAACCCCAGACCTGGAACACCGACGCATCGCCAACCTTCCCCGTCCAACGCAGTGTGGGCGAGGTCTCCGGCAAGGAGACACGGGGCCAAAGGTTGAGCTGATGTGCAGCGTACCGGACCGCAAACGGCCACAGAAAATGGGGAGCAGCCGCATGGATCATGGAGGTACGAGCCACCTCCATGACTAAGCCAATGCGGCATTCAGCAATCCCATTTTGCTGAGGGGAGTCCGAAAGCGTGAACGACTGGCGAATGCCCTCCCCACGAAAAAAGTCCCGCAAGAGGTCGGAGGAGAACTCACCACCTCTGTCAGAGTGCAGACGCAGGACAGGAAGGTCCTGGCCGAACCGCTCGCGCAGCTGGAGACGGACTGTGCGGATCCAAGGGATCAAGACAGCAAAGACCTCACCCTTGCTGTGCAAGGGGAAGACTGTGGTGTACCGCGTGTAGTCGTCAACTACCAGTAGAAAGTAGCGCTCGCGGCCCTGTCCACTGACGCGGGCTGGGCCCCACACGTCCAGGTGGAGGGTCTGCAGGGGAGCAGTCGTCGGGGGAAACGAGGAGGAGTGAGGAGCGGCGCGCTGCCGCCCCTTGATGCAAGGAAGACAGGGCGGGGCAGGCGAGGGCGGTAAGGGAGGCAGAGACCTGGGGAGACCAGAGACAAGGAGACGGGAGTGCATGCCACGAAGGCGTGGCAGGGAGGGGTGACCCAGGCGGTGGTGCCAAAGAAGAGTGTGGTGCGACAGAAGGCGACATGAGCAAGAGGCGGCTACCTGACCTGACGCGGACACCTGAGCAGACGCAGCGACCTGAGGAGGCTCAGTAGCCAGTGTGTACAGACTCGACCCTGGCCGACGAGTGAACGTAGCCAGGTGACGCCCCGTCCGTGTGCACGTGCAGATCGACACACGCTGACCCCCAGGAGTGGTGGTAGTGACCATCGCATCCTGAAGGGCAGCGGTACTCACCAAGTTCGTAGAGAACGAGGGGAGGTGAAAACCTGACAGTGAGCCGGACAGAACCGCCGGACACGGGAGGACAGTGGAGGAACTGGCAACGACTGGGCCCCCTGAGGGGTCAGTCAGTCTGACCGGAACAGGTGCAGGAAGAGGAGTGAGAGTGGTGCTGTCACGAAAGAAACAGCGCGAGGCGCCGGAGTCCAACGTGAAGGTGTGCAGGGCCTCAGCAGGTGCAGTACCAGGGGGAGTACCAGACGCACTAGTACCTAGAGCAGCAGCGGCTATACCTGGGTCAGGCGGCACACACAAGTAACAGTCACCCTCAGCACTAAAAGACAAAGCATACATGGCAAAGATAATAACATCAAAGTCTAGGTCAAAGATAGCAACTCCGGACCTAAGCAACTCCGCCCAACGAGGGCGCTCGACGTCATCACCAAACTGAGTACGCCAGGCGTCGTCAAGGCGGGCAAAGCAGTGGCGCTCAGTGTGAAACCTCCCGCATGTCCGGCCCGCACGGGCACCCGTGCGAATGACATACGGGCAGGTCTC